AATCCAAGGACACAACACAGCGACACGACAACGGGCGATAATAAATAAGTGAACAATCCAAGGACACAACACAGCGACACGACAACGGGCGATAATAAATAAGTGAACAATCCAAGGACACAACACAGCGACACGACAACGGGCGATAATAAATAGTGAACAATCCAAGGACACAACACAGCGACACGAAAAGCACCTAAGCGACACTCGCAAACACTGTGACACTGGCGGGTGGTTGGTGGGTGCTCTGGTGTGGTTGGCTAATTGTTTACTACCAAACATCTATGGTCCTGAGCTCTCCTTCTTTTTGTGTTTGTTACACCTCTTCTTTTTTTTTTTGGTTGGTTAGTATTTTACGGCGCTCACAACTGCATAAGGTCATATGAGAGCACGTAACACATTAAACCAGTTGATATGTCATTTTGAATTTTGTCCGGGTGGTGGCTGAAGCCTACTTTTATCGATTTTGGACCACCAAGGGATCTTTAACGTGCGCAACTTGCACACGAGACCTCCGATATATTCCACCCTTATCCGAGAAGGCAAGGTGTAAATCTTATCTACCAGAAGATCAGGGGTGTGACTGAAAAGACAGCAGTAAAACGGACCCAAGGAGTAGCAGTAGAAAAGATTCAGAAAGAGTCAGGAGCCCAGAGGAAGGGGCACAGGAGGTGAGGGGTTGGGGGGGGGGGAGAAAAAGAAGACCAAAGTAGTCGACAGAACATTGTTAGAGAGAAAGAAAGGATGTGAAAGGAGAACATTTTAGAGACAAAAACGTTTCCTTCGCTATTCGGATTCGAACCCGGGATCATTGAATGAGAGACGAACATCTTAATCTCTTGGCCACTAGAGCACCCTTTTACACCTCTAATCTTCGGCGCTTACATGACTTTTGCTTTGCATGCGTCGTAAAACTTTCACGGGGTGAAAAAGGGGGGGGGGGGGCAAACAGGAATAAAACAAAGGAATGTAATAGATGTAGGACCTGTCAGTGGCGCCCTCAAACTGCCAGGGGATTTAACG